GATTGTTCTAAATAGTTCTTCAATTAAATTGAACGCTAGTTGATTAAAGAATAAGTGACCGGAATCACGTGACAATGAGAACAATCTTTCAAACTTCAAAAACTAAATATATATCAAATTAAATTTTCAATAATCAAAACTGTATTTTGTCATATTTTTAAATTTTAAGTAACTAACATGTTTTTTTAACCGTACTTCATTAAAACAGTAACACTTCATTAAAACTACATAAATTTGATAGTCATCTTCAATGTAACAAAGAAATCAACTAGAAAAATTGTTCAGCAAAAAATAAGGACTCTCAAACCAAACTATGAGCAGCCTAGTTTAATTCTCTATGCACATGCCTAAAAGAAATTTCTTGAAACAATCTTGCCAAAAAAATCACATCCTCAACCTTCGTGGCTTATCCACCATGCCAATCAATTTTGTCAGTTAACATATTGATGACTTACAATGAATCATATTCAACTTTCACTTTCATCGACCTTAACATCAGAGTCATACGCAATCCTTCTCTTATCGCGAGTACTTCGACCAACAATAGGTTCACACTCACATGCAAATCAACCATTGCAACTTTTGGATCTCGTTCTAATCCTTACGATAGAACCATATCCATATTTGTCTCTAGTGATAGAGGCATCCGAATTGATCTTCATCAGACCTAAAGGATGAGGAATTCATGCTACATTTCAAGTTATTTTTCCTTGTCAATCAGCTGAAGTTCTTTCTAATGTCGAATTAAAATTTTCAACATAAGCAACAATCCACACAACTTTTGTTGCTAGTAAGTAACTAACATGTTACCATTGATCTCCATGTACTTTTGTTTAATACAAAATTATAATAGTCGTTCCAATCTTACATAATAAAGAGGAGAAATGAAATGACATTATGGCACAGTATAAATTAATTAGTATTTAAATGTATACTAAAACTAAAAATTATGAAAATAAAAATCATATTTGAATAATTATTTATAAAGAATAAAATGGCATGTAAGAAAATAATGATATACAAATGGGTAGGGGTATTATATTCTTCATGTTACAATTTCATTTTTAAATTAGAGGAATTCACGAACATTGTTAAAAATAATTAAACAATAAAAAAAGTTAGACAGAGCGATTTGTTAACAAATTATGTAGTAAGATCTTAACTTGATTATTTAAAATCCCATGTGAGGAATGAATAGTTTGCAAAGCGGGTTAGTTTAAAATTAAATATTATGTATTGTATAATTTAACTTTCTCTTTATTTGTCGACTAAAATCTTTGATAACATTTTTTTTTAGGAATTTAATGTGTTGGATGAAATTTTGTCTATTGAGTTGTAAAATAATAATTTCCGAGAGGAATGTATCATTTAAATTTAATAGTTAATATATATTAATTATCTATTGTTGGATGAAAATGCAAAGTATATGGGCTTATTAAATTATAAATTTGTTAGCCCCACGAATTATATAAAACTCAAACTACAAAATTTTGAAAATTTAAAATCAGTTATATAATTACACATTAATTTTACAAAACACAAAACTATAGATCAATGCATGCTACTAGGTTTTTTCCTGGCTTGTGGCTAATTTGCGAAAATACGACAAGTGGCGAGGAGGGGGATTATGAATGGGCTTGGGCTCTCTTTATTAATGCGTTATTTGACTATGGACTTGGGCTTTTTTGGCCCATGCACTATTGGACGAAAAATTCCACGAAGCCTCTCACTGAGTGGTCCCTTTGACATTGAAAAGTTAATGAAGCCCATGCTTTGCTGAACTTAGCCCATGACCTTAGTAATAGATCACACCATCCACCTTATAGAAACGTAAATAAAGTGTTTTATCCGATTAAACTATTTTAAATTTATATATTATGAGTTAAACTTAGTTCAACCATCCAAATTAATCAACTCATGGCCAAGGTAAAAAGATATCCATTATAGACCATGACTGGATCATCCGAGTGATGGGAAAACAAATAATCTCTTATTTTATTCAATTTTCTTCTAAATATATATAGCATGGTTGAATTTGTAAGTTTGTAACCGGCAAAATTATTTTATATTAAACTAACTTGTTTTGTTGAACTAGGTTGAGTTAGGTGAGATTTTAGGTTTAGAACATTGTTTTTTCTTTCTTTTTTTTATATTTTGTCATATTGGCTAAATACATAAATGTTTATCAATTAAACAGTCAATCCAAAGTATAAGAATTTCAAAATAAAAGTTATAGAAAATTATTTTATATGCTCATCGCTTTGACATAGGAAGGTAACTTATTATGAAATATAGATTTTTACATGTCAGCCTTTTTTCTTTTCATGGACTTTTTTGGGTATATGATTTAATTGGAGAAAATTTAATATATGAATGAAAAAAATTATAATCTGTAAATTATAAAAAGATTAAACTTCTGTTTTTTTAAACCTTTTGTGGATGTTTCCTGTACGGCCGACCACACAGCAAGTCCATGTGCACGCGTTTCTCACCCCAACTACTTCTAATTCATTGCACCTTTTCTTCACATCGCCAACCAATCATCTTCCTCCACGTACACGCACACGCACACGCGGGCTATCACGATTCCCACAACAGCTGTCATTCCGATTCTAGTTTCCAATTATTTCCCTCCCCTTTTCTTGGAATTTCCAAAAACCGCTGTTTTAATTTATTTTATTTTTCCAGACAAAACAAAAATTAAAACGGCCTTTTTTATCCGTTGCTCCACTCGATCCTATCCTTCGAATACGCCACCGAATAACGGGATAAATAAAACGGATATAACTTGTAAGAGGATGATTGGGTTGTGTTAATTAAATTACAATCTTACTTTTCAGCTCCTTCTCCTATCCTTTCTTTTATTAAAAAAATATCAAGATACTTCGTTGTTTAATTACAATTAAACAAGTGTTTAGTGTTCAATCCGCTAGTTATGACTTCGCTTCTCAATAACAACGATAATAGCGCTTGAAGGATTTTTTTAGATTATCCAACCCTTAAAGTCGTTTATTCCAAGTTATTAGCACGTTAATTTTTACTTATACATCACAGATATTATTCTTTTATGACCAGTGTGAACTATGTCAACATTTTTAACACTAAACGTTATCTATAATAAATGAAAATGTGATACATACCTAAACTTCTTCTATATTCATTAGATAAATTCAGTTTTTATGAATCCAAGCTTAAATTTTTCTGCGTGAGTCTATTGAGTGAATCAAAATTATCAATAATGGAATGTGGTTTAGATTAATTTAAATAGTATTACATTAAATATGGAATCATATAACATGTCATGAGATCTTTTAAAAATATATAATTGTGTTGGTACATATTGATCGCTTTATATTAAGAATTTGATGTGACGTTAATTTAATTAGACAGTATATTATAATTACGTTACATGATAAGATATTTTACATCTAAATATCATACATCCCCTTTATTGTTGATCTTGCATCCAATTTCCTACTGATAAATGAGAATAATAATTAATCTATTTTGTTACTTCGTATATTAAATATCTCACATGTATAAATTAATTTATGCTAAATTATTATTTGGTCTTTCATCATAAGTTATTCAATATTCAATATTATATATTAAATTAATTTAATTTTCATCATACTGTTATTTTAAAATATTATATTTGCCAAGAAGAATGATAATGAAATTCAAATTAATACATAAGATACACTAACATCTATTTATATTAAATTTTAATATAAATAATAAAGATGACATATCACCGATGAATAGATGATGAATAATTATGAAGTACTTTTAGTTCATAGTTATCAAAAGTTATTAAAATTAGTTCATAGTTATCGAAGTTCTTAAAATTAAATTACAAATGTGAACATTAATTTAATATGGATAAGAATACTAATAACTTATTTAAATGACGAAAGTCTTTTTCTTTTTTAGTACAACATGTTAGAGATGAGATTCAAACTCACAACCTCTTGGTTTTAGGTATATGTTAATTACYGCTATCGTTTTGACCGAAAGTCTTTTTATTTGATTAACAATATTTTGTCAAATATAGGATGTGTTAAGATTCATAATGGAGTAAAAATATGGGTGTAAAGTGAATTAAATTGATTGAATTGATAGTTTTTTTTTTCCACGTTTTGATATTTAAATACAATATAATTTTTTTTTGAGCCAAATACAATATAATTTTGAAACCATATATTAATTTTTTTCTAGGATAATGCATTGATTTTTGGATGAAGGAAATAATAGATTGAGTTCGACTGTAATGGATTGCTATGTATTTTTAAGCTATATAGAAATAATATATTAGCTAGACTCTTATGAAGATATTATTTATCAACTTAAAAGAGGTTCAAAATCCAAAAAACTAAAAAAAAACTATCTCACATCTAATTTTACCATAAACAAACAGCACCTATAGGAAATTTTTGATTCACGTTTTTAATATATTTTGTTTCGATCACAAGTTTGTATAGTGCGTATGCAGATTATATAAAATAATAAATTATACGTTAATAAAATCCATAACAAAAAATTTTGAATATCGAGTTAAATAAATCTATAAACCAATGAAAGTAACGTACACCATTTTGCCAATTCCTTCTCTTATTTGTTGTCATCTAGAACCGTGACGTCACTTGCAAAAAATAATTAGAAAGAAAAAGGTCGATACAGAGGATTCCATTTCCAATTCCAACAGACGTTCTGTAATTTTATTTTTCACATGCTGTAATTACCGACAGGAAAATAGGAAACTGACTACAGCTACATTTCCATATTGTATACGTGGCACCAATCGCAGCTGCCCCTAAAGGCGGTTGGAGGAAATCGGAGAAGCCCGTCGTAGCCGTTAGATGAGGAATCGCAATCATATGGCCCACCATACTTTCAAAAAGACCCTCCAAATATCACTTAATTACGACTCGCCCCACCCCCACTCCCACCTATAAAACCCACCGCCGAGACGAAATGGGTTTACCGAAACGAATCCCGAATCTCCGATCGTCCTGCTCCAACCACACTCAAAACTAAACCAAAATTCTCAAAATCAGTTCTCATGAAGAAGGAAACAAGCGGACCTGTTCTCCGGCCACTTTCCCCCGGCGACAGATTCCCCTCCCCGATCTCTTCTTCTTCTTCTCCGGCGTCTTCTCCGTTCGCCGCCTCTACTAACTTCGGCTTCTCTTCCGGATCTTCTACATTTTTCCACGATCACCGTCACGACGATCACCACCATCACCGGTCCGCTTCTCCTACACGCGTCAACCTTTCCTCCACTCCTCTGTCTCACTCTGTTCGATTTTCAATCGACCACCGGTCCACTTCCAAGCGCAACGGCCACGTGCCGATTTCGCTACCCAAAAAGTCGTGTATGTGTTCGCCGACGACTCATCCAGGCTCCTTCCGGTGTAGTCAACATAAAAATTCAAACAGCGGCGGCGGCGGGCACCCGCACCACCAAACGTCGTCGTATCCATCGACCCGTTTGAACATGCGTAGGTCCGCGATGACGAACTCGCTCGTGAGAATCGGCGGCGTGGAGGGAGATTGGGTCAAACGAGCGTTGACTGCTTTGATTCGTCCTTCTTCCCACCAGCTGAGAAGGAGAGCCAATTTCCAGCCACGACCCAGCCGGCTTTCCGTCATGTCCAAGGCCGAAGATCGCTAAAATCTCTCCGCCGGCGGCAAGTTTCATTTTTCTCACCTCATACTGATAGAACTGAAATCCTCTGTAAATGTCCATGTTGGGATTTTCTTAAATCAAAATCAAATCGAATTTTTCTTCTTCGATCTTCAGAATTCAGATTTCTTGATTTGATGCTTCCAACCGCCACCGCAAAAACCGTTTCCGGCGACTTGGTTTAGGCCGGTTTGCTTGTGATGTCAGGTATAATTTGTTTTAATTAATTTATCTCAATTTAAATCAGTCCCTGTTCTTTTAATGGTTTCGAATATATTTTTATTTTATGTTATGTTATGTGTGGTTTTGCAGGCGAATTGCTTAGGATCTGAGTCATGTGACCGTAGAGGGACATGAGAAGCCATTAAAATAGAGGAAGCTTCTGTTGTAAATGACCGAGGAGAAAAAAAAAGTCAAGGTTCTTGAAAGGTTTCAGCAATTTTAATTGATTAGAGTTGACACAAAATAGGCGAATAATTATAGAATTATTAGCTGGCGGACACACAATCAAATTGAATAATGAATAATTTATTAACTCTACCAATGGAGAACTGCCAGCTGTACGGATGGTCTCGCATCAGTTAATCAGCATTCATGTCAAACTCACGGATGCGACCATCCTATGGGAGGAGTCGCATTAAAATTAAAAACTGTAAATAATATTTTTCTCCCGCTTAGACACGTGTGTCTGAACTTTAATTCGGACGTTTAGAAGATGAGACTTCAAAACTGACGAAAAATTCGTTGAACAATAGGTACGATAATTGTAGTGGCAAAACTTTGGATCTACAATGTTTCTATCTCGTAAAAATGTACGCAATCTCAACATGGTGCATCAAGGATATTAAATCTTATGGTGCAGCTCTATCCAAGGACATGAGCTTTTATATATGAGACTAAGGACGGTGGGTGAGTGATGGTACAAGCTTCCATTTTTAATAAGGATAAATAGATTCAAATGAAAAAAAAAAAAAATATCTCAACCTATTCTCCTATCTATTTATCCTTTGTTTCACATGGATTCTACTGTAAATGAGTTCATTACTACTATGCATGCGTGTGATATCATGAAATTAGCCAAAGTTGTATGCCTAGAGGATATAATGGTTGTAATTAAAATTCCAATATCAGCATTACTAATTAGCAAGATGGACGTGGCATTATGAAGAAGAATTATTTCTACTGTATTAAAATGGTTACGAGTTCTATATGAATTATATTTGTAATGCCCACTCTTCTACTAATATAGTTCTAAGTAAGTGGTGGAAGAAAATGTGTAGTATGAATATTCTCCCTAAAATTAAAGTTTTCATGATGAAGGTTTTTCACGATTGCATCACAGCAAGGGAAGTGTTAAAAAGAAGAGACATGTTTTACATGCGTGCCCTCTAATATGTATGTAATAAGAAGATTGGAGATGGTAGACTATGCTCTATTCGACTATTTGGAAACGACTGCTACTAACCCATCATTGTTCTACGAATTTTAATTATTGTTTTCACAACTGATGCTGGTATGTTCTTGATTCCTTAAAACGTTTACCTCACAAACTTTCAAATGAAGTTGTTCATTATGCCCATTTGTTATTGGTTGCATGTATTTCCTTCTTCATGGCTGAACGAAGCCGAATTTCCTTCAATACATGTAGCTGAATCACCTTTGTGGTTTTTAATTCAAAGTTATATCAATTAAAAAAAAAAGTGATATCTCTATAAAAAGCAAACTAAAAATAATATATTTATGCATTATTTATTTATTTTTTAAATAAAATAATTATTGACTACATTAAACCATTGATTTATCCCTATCTAATTTCACAAGTTTTGAGTTTAAAAATAAGTCTAAATATTAAAAATATTTTAAAAAATATTAATATACATATACATATATATATATATATATATATATATATATATATATATATATATATATATATTTTCAGAATTAAACCTTTTAAAATGTTGTTAAAAAGTAAAAACTCTACCATAAATACATTGTATACGTTTGACTTATTTTAATTAATTTCCTCCCTCCCTCTATTAAAGTATAAATCAAATATTTAAGTTTATTATTTACTTAAATTAATAATAGCAGCTTCAAAATAGAAGTGAATCAAGTCTTTAACCTAGGTTTTTGTTCTTCACATTAATAACCTATGGCCATTGAAAATTAAAATTTTCGAATATTTCCACAAGGATGTTATCATAACATGAAGAAAAATTCATTAAAAGTTTAAATTTAAAATTACTTCAATAAAAGGTCACATATATTATATAATTTGGAGGGAAATGGGCCAAGTTTATATGGGCCTCCTCGAATTGGGCCCATGTAAACTCAAACTCCCGCAAGGAAGCCGAACATTGACGCAATTATCGGTGCGGCGGAATCGGGAGAATAGAACATTGGGGGATTGCGTGAAAACTCAGAATAGTTAAAGCGACGCTCCAATTTGCTGTAATCGTCGTTCCCCCACTGCCTATATTTTATTCTCTTCGATTCGCTTTCTGATTCCTTCTGCATCGTTTGAAGATAATCGAGCAGAAGACCCAGAGAAAACTAGTCAGTTCGTCGTCATTCAAGCTTCTTTCAGTCACTGATCTTACTACTGTGTTTCTGTTTAATTCCGTGACCTTTTCATTCAGTTTCAATCTGATCTTTGTTTTTGTCTCCTCATCAGTTCTTATCATGGAGAAAATCAGAAGAGCGTCCCACGCCGGTTCTTGGTACACCGACAATTGTAAGTCGCCTTCTCTTACTCTGTCTTACGCATGCACGTTTTTGTTTCTGTCAAATTCTTCAGTTTGAAAAGGTTTGAATTAGTTTTTAATTTGATTTATTTTTGGTCTTGATAGTTCGCTTACCATATTTTCTTCTCTCTGCGCCTATCACTCTGAATTTTCTGGTTCTGTTTTGGTCCTCTTCATCTAGACTGTTCCGAATTTCTGGAAGACAGTGTGAATCATTCAATTTTGGCATTCTTTATGAATGCATAAGGAGGGAGTTAAAAGTTTTAAATTTTAATTATTGCTGTATAGTTTAAACATGAGCGAGTTTTTTGTGGCTTCCAAGCTGCGCAAGGCAGTTTGTTGTAGAAGTTCATGGATTAAACTCGTATGGCACAGTGCTTATGCTACGTTTAAGAAGTCGGGTTTTATTGGTAGAATACTGCCGGGGAACTTCAACTCAGTTGTGACGTGACGTTTTGAGCTTACAGTTGTGCTGGGAATTTCACGAAGAAAAAGGGGAATTTCAAATTTAGACATGGTTGAGTCTAAATTATATACAATCAAAACTTTCTTTCACATAAGTTCTGTTAGGAGTAAGATGGTTTCGACTCTGATATCGGCCAAATTCATACCAAAGGTTCATGAGTTTTGGGTGTAGTTTGTATTCTTTTATAAAATTCTCATCGAACTATGCTTAAACATTGAGCTTTGATTTGTAACACTATGGCTATAACACATGTCCTTAAAATCACGATCTGACTGAGTAATATTTGATCATACCTCTAATATGTTGGGTCATACTTGGAGGAAGTTTAAACTTTTATTCATCAAATAAGGAGATCAAACCTCCTTCCCATTTTTGATCCGAAGCATCTTAATACGGAAGTTTTATGATTTTAATGAGCAACATTGCTCTATGCACCTAAATATACAACACTCAAAAAATGGAAGAAGGCGTCATTGCTCAAAAATATATGTTTGCTCATGCATGTGTATTATATATAGTTTCCTTGACTTAGGGAGGACATTGATGGTGTTTGAGTTTCTCTTTATTATGTAGTATTTATACTTTGTTGTGGAAGTCAAATGGATAATAAATTATGATGCTGTTGGATTTTCTCTCCTTCTAGCTAAGAAACTTGCTGAGGAGCTTGATGGATGGCTGAGGGCATCAGGCTTGTCTAAATCCTCAGATGTACGTGGTGTAATTGCTCCGTAAGTTGCTGTCAAAATTTATTTAATTTTTTTTAAATGTAATAAATTTGATGTATTTAAATTGCCATCGAACCACAGGCATGCTGGTTATTCGTATTCAGGACGTGCTGCTGCATATGCATTTGGTAACATTGATCCAACAAATATGTGCGTTTATCTCCCTTTTAATCACTGCTTCTAGTCTAGCCCAACGAATTGATTATACCACTTGGTGTTCAAGTTTTAGAGTTTGTATGTGAAGTCTTTTCAAAATGTTTTTTTTTAATGATAAAAATTAAGTGAAAACATGCCTAGATAACAATTTATAAAGTTGTTTATTTCTTGTTTCTTTTAATGTGATTTTATGGGTGACATGATCTTTAGAATAAAAGAATTTATTCTTCATTTCAAAATTCTGAGTTTGTAAATAATGATAACAAACACGTGTCTTATTTACAACTCTTAAAATCATTTTTTGAAACAAAATCAAAAGTTTGTTCCAAAAACATCTGTTTAACAAACCTTAATTACTTCTAATGACCCCTTAATATTCTGAGATCATCTCCAAAAAAACTGATTATTTGATTATTATATTAGTTAGCAGCTACGGACTTATTGCTAATGTGCTAGATGTTTATGTTGCAGTTCTAGGATCTTTCTTCTTGGTCCATCTCATCATTATTATACACCAAAATGTGCTCTATCAACAGCCACTATTTACCAGACTCCTGTGGGGGACCTTCCTATTGATTTGGAAGGTATTCTGTTTTTCAAGTTTTTTTCTTTGAGAATTATTCATCTGTTCCATTTGTGGCTTGGCGGCTTGTAGAGTTTCCTGTTAGATCAATTGAAAGAGTCAGAAATTTTGACTTCATCTTTATTTCTAAATTTAGCCATTGCCTGATTTATTTGTGATTATTCCTTTTGTCTTATTCACTTTGGCAGTCATTGAGGAGTTAAAAGCTACAGGCAAATTTGAATTGATGGATATGCGTGTTGATGAAGCTGAACATAGCATGGAAATGCACTTGCCATATCTTGCCAAAGTGTTTGAGGGGTAATTTTTGTTTAATTAACGGAAAATTGTCTATCTTTCTAAGGTCTTACTCTTATAGATAGTGATCCAATCATGCAGGCACTCAGTGAAAGTTGTACCCATTTTAGTTGGTGCTGTTTCTGCAGAAACTGAGGCCATGTATGGACGCCTGCTTGCCAAATATGTTGATGATCCGAAAAATTTCTTCTCTGTATCCTCAGACTTTTGTCACTGGGGGTCTCGGTATGTTCCAGTCTCTATCTTTGTTAATATTATTATCCATTTTGAGAGTACATTATAGTAGGTTTCCTACAATATAGGGTTAGTGAGGTCTACTAGTTGTTTTTGACATGATTTGTGGATATAGCACTCTTTCTTACAGGAACATGTTACTTCCATGCATACAAAGGGACCGCCCTTTGGGATGATTTTGGATAGCTTATAGGTGCTTCTTAATAATATTAATTATTGTAAAAAGGCCTATAAAGTGCAAGTTAGTTTGTTACGTGTTGCCTTGATCTTTGGGTCTGCTTTCCTCTCCAAGTTCTCAAACAAGTGCTTAATATGAATTTAAGTGCATCTCTTCACTCAACTAGGGGTATTAAAGTGATTGTTCTTGATTGAAATTCTCTGAGATGGTTAGGGAGGAATGGGCGTGAGTAAAATAAAGTTGACAGTATATTAGATTCAGTCATCTAGTTTTCTACTGCATTGCGACATTTCACCACTGCACTCGCTGCCATCCAAAGTGCTACAGGAATCTGTGTTATTGCATTGTTGGATATATATGAAGTATTTAATTCTTCAGTTGAATCTCACATAAATGGTTTTCAAAGTTATTTACCGTCATTATTTTTCTGAATTTCATTTGATGTGTGCTCTTAGGTTCAACTACATGCATTACGACAAGAAACATGGGGCAATACACAAATCTATTGAAGCTTTGGATCATATGGGCATGGATATAATAGAAACAGGAGATCCCGAAGCATTCAAAAAGTATCTGCAAGAGTATGACAACACCATTTGTGGTCGTCACCCTATTAGTGTATTTCTTCATGTAAGTGCCGAAACGTTAACTTACATTCTAAAACTAATGAAAACTTGAAGCAATTTTTGGAACTTTAGAACGTAGAAATTTTTGGAAAGATTATCACATGCATATATATGATTTTTCCCTGCTCGTTTGAAGCAACTTACAGTTGACTTACCGTTGTCTCTTCCATGAAACTAGTGTGCTTGTTTACAAAAATGAAGAAATATAAGAATTGAACGAAGAATTTGATTTCAAGGTTATTGATCTCAGGCATTGTTTTTCTACTCGAAATATATTTCAAAGTAGAATCCGTAACCATTTATATTACATGTTCTGGTTTGGAAATGAGAGTATTCCGAAACTGACTTCTGCCTTTTATTTTCTGTGGTTAATTATTTTCATTCCACTGAATGATTTGAATCTGATAATCAATTGCTTTTGTTTATCCAGATGTTGAAGAACTGCTCCACAAAAGTAAAGATAAAATTCCTTCGATATGAACAATCCAGTCAATGCAAGACGATGAGAGACAGCAGCGTCAGCTACGCATCGGCTGCAGCCAAGGTGGATGCCATTTCAGATTAAACGGTGTGAGAAAGATCCATTAATTTAATCATCTCCATTGGCTCTTCCTTAATCTAATAGCATGCATTTTTACTTAATTAGCGTGTGTTCTTAAATTATATGGAAAGTCTCCTGTTTCATATCAGTCATTCAGAAACCTGCATTGTTAATGTGTTCTAATTTTATTCTTGGTTGGCTGGAAAATGTCTCAACTCTCGTTTGCTAATGTAACTGGAGGAAAGAAAAAAAGGATGGTCGGTATCAAATGATGTTGGCTTTTCCAATTTATTAAATGTTGATATTAACCTTCCGATAACAGCAGTGATTTCGTTTTTAAGAATACTGGTGAATTTTTGTGTTTTTTTTCCCTTCTTTCTTCGAGAATTTGTAGTGTTTGGTTAGATAATTAGAAGTGTTGAAAATTCAAAAAAACAATAAAAGAAACAATGTATTTTAACAGTGTTTTAACTTCTACGTACTTTTTTTTTTAACAACTTTTTGATTTTGTTTTGTTTTTTTAGCTCTCATTTGTAGGAGAGATGATGTTGGAAATCTACATTTTTTTACGAGGATATTTACCTTAAATACGAGAAGGGGTAGATGTATTTTTAACTATGCTCATGTTGGCTCTTACTGCATTTAATAAATGGGAATGAGATGATACAAAGCATGTTAATGGTGTCATTCTTAGTAGAGTGAAAATAAGTTTGAAGATATATATTTTAATTAGTTGAGTTATGTTCATGTTAGCTAAAATAAATAGGTAAATAGATTTAATATATATGTATTTTCTAATATAGAATAAAGTTAATAAGCCTAATCAATACAAACTCAAAATACACTTAAAAAGGGGTAGAAAATAATATAAYATATTTTAAAAAAATAAATTTAATTGAAAAACAATTCATTTCATTTTAACAAATTTTCATTTTAGTAGGTTATATACTTATAGTCTCGTTTTTGGTACTTTTCTCCCATTTAAAATGAAAACAAGAAAAGGTTGTAATGTTTTCCCCCGCAAGTGGACAAGAAGCATAAGTTACAAAATGAAAAATAATCACGTCGATATCACATTACTATTTAATTATCAGATCACTTTTTTTTTTGCTGCTAAAAGTTGCTTATTAAAAAAGATTGAAATTTGTTTTTACTGTTTTCAAAATTTCTATATAATTTTGAGTTTTAAAAATAAGAAATATAAATAGTTATCGAAACGTTGTCAAACAGATCTTAAATTTTCAATTCCTTCCTCTGCTCTCTTAAATTTTCAATTCCTTCCTCTGCTCTCTTAATTTAAAAGGCCTTTTCCTGATTAGTTTTTCAGGTATATGCCGGGTTACCTTTTAAATTGTCACAAAATTTTCTAATAAACTGCTGATGTTCCGTATATTTCATCTCTTAGGACTAACTAATGTGTTCTACACGAGCAAACCCAGATTCCTTGGGTAATTCCACATCTCTATTTAAGAGTTTCACACAGATGTGACCTTATATTTCATACCTGAAACAGAGCCCCCATTCTCACATGGCAAACCCAATCGTATTGGTTGAATTGAACTTATGGGGGACAAATTCGCAACTGTACCACCATGCTTAATTTGGCATTTTTATTTGAAGACAATATGCTACCATTCTGAAAGAGAAAAGAACTGTTTATGAAGAAAGGAGAAGAAAAAAAAATGTGACATTCCAATATATCCATTTTGTACTTTCTAATATTAACAAGAAGTGTATATAGTTTTGGTCAACCTGTCACTATCCCCAGAGAAAAAAAATTGCCGTATATTTCAAAATCTGAAAGAGGAATCTAGTGAAAATGTCATAATTCCCCTGGCATCAGATGGAGGGCGAACTCAGGCACATAAAACTGTGTAGCAAAAGAATTGTCTAAGCTCCGCAAAATCAGCAGCTATGTCCAGATTGGCCATTCTCAACAAAGGATCTCTGGATCAATTAAGCCACGGAACACACCTTTTCTGGAAAAAAACATGTGGATCACTGGCATTAGTGTACAAAACAGTAAACTAAAATTCATACAGCTCATTTTACCTACAATTACCTGAACGAAGGCAAATATAAAAGAATTTGGAGAGAGGTCCAGTAAATGAGAGATTGATAGGAGCAAGATGCAAGAATGAGAGAGATCAAGGGAATAGAAAAAAAAAAGGTTGATCTGAGGAGGAAGTTTAGATGGATGAAAAGAAGAAACCGGAGTTTTAGATCATTGGAGAAACCAATAACACAAAATGGATATCCCTAGCTTATAAGTTTTATTTTTTGGACACCTAGGATAAACTAGCTGACAAGACCTCTCCTTTTTCCATTATTTTTTAATTGTACATCATCATAACTTCAACCTTTTACTTGTATAAGGATTTGATTAAAACAAACCGAAACATTAAATACAGTCAGAACAAAAAAGTATCATAGACATTAGAAACCAATCCATGTATTTAGTTAAAAACTAAGTGACAAAGGTAAATGAAATGATAATCATATATCCATTTCTACTTGAGATTTGTTTTCCTATGTGCCCGTGGGGTAGACTGACCAGAAAACTGATGGGCAAAGGTCTGGGTGTGAGCTTGTATTGGGGGGATGTGGGGATGCACCAAAATGCAGTACCTTTGGTCCGGTCTTATTGATTTTGCAAATCAAATTTATTGCTTTAAAACAAATCGTTAAGAAGAATCGGAGAAGAAGCCCCCAAGGGGCAGCCTAGTTGGCAAAAGCTTGGGATCTCTTGGTTATACTGGCTTAGAGGTTTTAGGTTCGAACTTTCTGGTGAGTTTAATACTAAAAACCCTTGATGTCTCCCGAGTTCGGACCTTGGGGCGGGCACGGGTGCTCCTGGATACAAGGGAGTAAAGCTCCGATTCCCGGTTATTANCTCCGATTCCCGGTTATTAAAAAAAAAAAAAAGAATTGGAGAAGAGATATGAGAAGAGACCGCCAAAATAATGGAATGGAGGCACATTCACCTTGTCTGGAGCTACTGCAGCACAGTCGACTATCATCTATATGGGTGGCCTGGAGACCAATCATCCATGACCCCACTGATATATCATCGTGTGCATAAGTCTTCAAAGATGCACTGCAAATAACGCAGAGAATCAATAAGCTTCCAAAGGCGGGGACATTTATATAACATGACACAACTAAGAAATAGAGTCTGTAAGTTAAGCTAAAAAATGGATATCATAAATAAATTTTCAATAATAAGGTTCTTTGTTTACAGTGTAGAAGATGCTACCACACAATACAACCACATTCAATTTTATAGGGTTGTTTGATCTAAAAGGAGTATGATCTGGTACATGAGAGTTTACTTCCGGGTTTTGACAAGTCAATCAAAATCGTTCTTTCACATTAAGTGATTTATGAATAAATTAATTTGAAATCCTAGACTTCCTACTATTGGAATCTGGTTCTACTTGTCAAGGAAATAGATCATTTTCCCGCTCCACTCAGAGCACCACTTGCCTTAAAATTGAAATCCTAGACGACTTCTGAGCATGGAATATTCCTTTGATTCAGTAAGCCATTTTATGGTACTTGAGTTATTGAGATTACCTGTTAATATTTACATACTGAGCCAAGTTTTTTGAGAGGATAATAAGCGAACCAGACGCATGCCGGAAGTACCTAAAGAATGCAAAAATTGATCACGAATTACTCCACCAGTCCAGGAAGTATTCAGTATATTGCAGAAAATTACAAAAACGTCTTTATTGCTCCATCCAAAGGCTAGATTACATACGATTTCTCATCTCCAAACTTCCACCATTCAGGTTCATACCACTGCTTTCCTCTAAAAATCAACAAACATAGCATTTCAAAACCTCAAAAATTAACAAATTAAACCAGAGAACATTTTCTACATAATATAAGCATGAGCATCATCATAAAGTTTAATTAACAAAACCATGTGAAAATGTAAAATCTTGATCATGCGGAAAGAAAGAATGAAATATCTATACTACAAGAAATGAGAGGCTTATGGAGGTCAAAACAAGATATTCCTCTAATCAATTTAAAATCCACAAGTCTCATCAATAATTATTTATCAATTCAAAATATAATAGTAAATTCCACATTGTTCTTTCACAAAATAAATATCCATGTAATAGTCTTAGAATATCATTTTCTAAAATAGAATTTTATATTTACTAAACTTTAGGCAAATTTTGTATTCCAATATGAATAAAATGAAAATATGTTGACACTTTTGTTTAGTTTAAAAAAGTTAAAACAATGACAGTAAAAATAAACCAGCTAAACAATTATGCAAAAACTTTTAATGAGTTCCAATCAAACTTAAATGAACTTCTTGACTTTGATAAAGAAAACGTTTTCATTCTGAAAAAAAAAAGAAAAAAAACTCAAATATTATTAATTCAAAGTATATTTTATTATGATTAAATAAATAATTTTTTCATAAGAATGTTTAAAGAAATAACTAATTCCATTAAAATAGAAAATATAATAACATATTTGGGTTCATACCCACAAGCATATTTTGATAGATGTTGGAAAAAAGAATTCATGCACCCTCATGCATTTTCTAATAGAAGTGTTGGGATAACAGAATTCATACTCGTCAGCAATTACATCTCCAGACTTCATGCATCCAATGTAAGTACCATCTTGACCACGCCGACGTTCAAGAAGGCCAATTAAACCCTCTGCTTGGTCCAAAGAAGGTTTTTGTTAATCACCAAGCTGTGATAAATAACTTTATGATAAAGTTCAATGGTTAGATTATCTACCAAGATCAAGATCAATGTTGTCATCAACTTTCACATAAAACTCTGCATCCCAATTTTGAACTGCTGTACTGAAAAAGAACTTTGCTTTTTTAGGAAACTCCTCATCAGCTTCTTCATGACCTTCCTGCAAAATATGGGAACACGTGTTGAGAATTGCCAAGTAATTCATCGAGTGAAGAATCACATCAAACATACATATGTACTAACAAATCTGAATTCTGTACAGTATTAATACATTAACGAGATACTCCTCAACAAACTGTCTAAGGATAATGCAAAATGAAAATCATTTCAAGGTACTGATATTGACTAGATTCTAGTAAAGAACAGAAACAAGTTAATATGCAAGTGCATTATAATTACCAGAACCACCATGAAGCAAAAAAGTTGGGTTGAAAATATTTGCTAATTTTAAGTGATTTAGCAGGTGAAATACATAAGAATGGATCTTTTACAACTTACAAGTATCAAGAAGTCCTTTGTTGAATGGTTTTCCTTGTCAATATTGCGGTCTAAGCTATCACCTCGATTTGCACTGCCAATGTCAAATCAATATAGTTATGATAGGAAAAGTACATGAAATAGCTACGGCACATATCATATCAACAAAAAGCTGAAAAACCAGATGTCGAGTGAAAGTGAAGAACATTGATATGAAAATAGAGTTGAAAGTGGAAAGGAAAACCTCCGTCCAATAACAAAGCGTATGACCACCCCTCTTTCCTCCAGCTTTTTCAATGCATCACCTATACATGCCACAGGATTATTATCATATATCACCACTTGTACGTTCACACACATTCCATAAAATGAAACCAGTTAATACTTTTTAAAAAACCGAAACATTTTTCAAGTAGTTCAATAAGATTTTTGTTAAATCTCACAATCACTCTTTCTCTAATCACAGAAGCAATTCAAATATTCAGTTTGAAGATTTCTTTTGTGTGAAGAGTGGCTCTTCCCCTCTTGTTTCTCCCCTACTCCTGTTCCCTAAACGAATTTAAATTGCAAGGAGATCTCATTCCTTTTTCTTCCCATCTTTCTACATGCCCCGACAATTTGAGGAATTATTTATTTTCTAAGGAAAAATGTTGATTCCATACACTAAATCACCATTAAGAAATTAAAAAGTTAGCACAGACTGGTCAAGCCATGGACGTTCTAAATCTCATATGATTATGATATAATATATATTGATCATTATTAGAGAGTATAGGTATCAAGTTGTAAATTATAATGATTACTATTTATTAGACCTGAATATTGCAATGGACATTTGCTAGCTCAAAGGGAAAAAAGGAATAGATAGTTAGATTTCTGAAACTTGATTCATCCTTATTATTATTATTATTATTTAAAAACAAGAATTTGGGATCACGGGAAGAATGAAGTACAATCAGAGAATTAACAATCATCTGAAGTGAAGCTAGCCAGGTACTTTACACCCCACTCAAATAATATGTTAACTGTGACTGACCTTTCGGCATCCAAGATCCTCTGAATACATTGCGCTTTAGTCGACTTCCAAATCCTGTATAAACACCGATAACAGCAAGAAGCTTATGACCAGGGCCAGAAGAAGATCCACTCTGTCGCAATTGATTCTTCAGGTATCCTTGACTCTTTGCTAATGTTAAATCCATCTCAACTTCCACAATTCTTCTCTCCAAGTCTCTTTATAAAGTTATATAAAATTTTAAATCAATAATATGTAAAGATATTAAGATTAGGTATTTGTATCAGACACAACGTTAACAAGCAATACAAAGAATGAAAGGGAAACAAAATTTCCAGCCCTCACTAGAAAGACAAAGGAGACAATAAAAAAGCGACTGTAATTTTCAAATAGAAGAGGATATTAGAAAACAAAGATCAGGCTTCGTAAAAAATTGAAGAAAGAAAACTTAAGCACGTACTTGCAACCCAGAACTTGCAGCTTATCTTCAACGCTCAATATCATGGGTCTCTACATACAATGACAGAAAATCTTCGTGGGTCAAGGGTACCATTCTAAACAACAAATCACAAAAGCGGTTTCATGCCCAATTAATGGAGACGAGGAGGAAATTACGATTACATGTAGACTTGGATATTAGCAATTAGCTAATATGCGTGCAGTATTTATTCAAAATTTCAACTCTATGATGCCTTTAAGAGGAAAAATAATAGGTGTGAAGGATTGCAATAATTAAGTATATTTCTCCCACAATTGATAAAATAGTCATCATTCGTAAACCTGGGCTGCGTTCTTCTGTAAAAGATTAGCAAGTAATTTCCTATTTTCTGCATCCTGCCACAGCCTGAAGAAAGCAGACCAATAATAAGCGGAATGTACAAGCTATTAAGCGCAAAACAAGTGAAATGCAATAGAGAACAGTCCCAAAATTAAGGAGGAAGGTGCTAGAAAGGTAACGAAGTCGAGAATCAATGTGAAGGTGTAATATATCCGCATGATCGACAATCAGGTGAAGTTCGATTTAAAAGGGCAAAACAATCGGGTACAATAAGAAGATCCGATTCTACCCAAACGACACCGAAAAGAAAATTGTACAGTCGGTGTGGCTTAATTTCCCTTCCAACATTGGTCAGGCGCGAGAAATAGAATTAAGGAAGAAGAAGCATACCTCCCGGCGACATAAAGCCAAGCAAGGCAAGAGAAGAATGCCATGAGCATGGAGGGATTCGACGTCTGAAGAGTCTTGGATCGGCCTCGCCTCTCCGGCTTCACCGTCGTCGGCAAACTCTCCATCTCGTCAATCTCAAGGAGGGAGACGGAGACAGAGGAGAAGATTGATTTTAAAACGCAGAAATGTTGGAAATACGAATACCTATGATTATATACAGACAAATTGGCATAATAAGGATACAGAAACAAGAAATGAAATCAACTGACTGAAAACTGAAAATGAAGAAGACAGTCGCAGAGATCGTTGAGATCCCGTCCGGCCGTACTCAGTTGAAAGACTTTCGAAACTCCATACTCACAAATGGGCTTGGCCCGTTACCGCCACTGGACGACCCAAATATAATATTTTTTTACATTATTTATTTATTTATTTTTTAATTTAAGAATGTTTTCTTTTCATTTTATAATTTTCGTCTTCCATTTTTTCTTTTTAAATATTAGAGTGGTATGATCACGTGGGTGAGGTTATCCCTATAAGTAGAAGCTACATTCAATAACTTCTTTCTTTGCTAATTTGGTGAAGCAAAAGTCCACTTAAATACGTATGTAAGTATATTTTGTTAGAATACAATATTATAAATGTGAGGTCGAGTATTTGAATTTTTAATATACAGAAAAAAGCAACGAATATGTTGACAGTTAAGCTATAAGTTTAACCAACAAAAAAGCGGAAATTTGAGCTTACAACCCATAGAAGAAAACACAAACAATAATTTTAACAAAAATGTATCATTTCCAAAATTTTAATAATAGATATTAACGCCCTTTAGGAGATAGCATAGTGGCAAGGACATGGGGTATCGTGGTTCATCTACTATGAGGCATTGTATTCAAGTTCTGCGCTGGTCACAGTGTTGTTCAGCCCACACAATAAGATGTGATTAGAGAGATCTAAGATATACTTTCCATCTTTGATTATTTGTTTACCCCTTCAATTTTGTTTAAGTCATTAAGTGACAATTGCACTATTTTTTTTTTAATTATTGCATTCCAAATTGTGAATATGAGGATTCTTCTTCTTCTTTTTTTTTTATACTATATATGACAATTCAAGCTAACGCTCGCAATTCCCAACAACTTACCTTATAAAAGAAAAGCTTTGATATTGTTTTTCCCTTTTTAAAAAGAACTTACCTTATAAAAGAAAAACCTTTTATTTATCTAGATTAATACAGTGGGAAAAAATATTAATGATTATGGAAAAAAGGAACAGCCATTAAAAAGGCCATTAATCCTTGGGCTCTGCCATTTATTTGCCATTTATTATCACAAAGAAATAATATAATTACTTATAGGAGTTTGAGTATACGGCTGTCCAATTTTATTTTTGTTTTCTATTTGTTTAGTTCAATTCTTTACCGATCGAGTGAAAAGTCAAATCATCGAATTGAAATAGTTTATCTTTTGAACCGGCGTCTCTTTACTTTTTTTTTTTATTAAGAATGTTAGAATCTAGACTTAATTGAAGTGCGCGAATTCGCACACTCATAGATATAAAAAAAATGTTCTAATCGAAACCAATTGAAAATGTTTAGAACATAAAGGTAGAGACTTTTAAACCATAGAACATAAATAAGTAAAATAACAAATCTAAAATTTGGATGGTTTCATTAATTTAGTTCATACATTAAATTTTTTTTCAAATGTGTCGATAAATTTTCTATTTTAATTTTGTCCTTAATGTTCTACAGTTGCCTTAAATATATATTGATGTGATATTATCGTATTGAATTAACAAGTGATATGTTTTTTTTTTCTTTTTGAGATAAAATGGTATGAATTTAAGACATATAACAACAAATGATATAGAAATATTAATTAAATAGAATAAAAAATTAATTCGAACAGAATTTAATTGATAATAGATATTATCCTTCAATGTTTTTGATGTTAAATTTTCTATCTCACATTTGTTGTCTTAAAAAAAAAAAGGATAAAATAACAAGGAAATGCCAATATGTCGGCTAATAATATTTTCTATCCATCTATGGTTTCTTTTCCTTTCAATTTTTATTTTTGGCCCACCCACTTTTTGCATCCCATCATACTAAATCATTAATTTTAAGTTTAAGTTTAACTAATGTATCACATTAAATTTAATTAATAAGGTTAACCGCAATGATTTATTAGAATTAAAATCATAATTCAAGAATGCAATTAAACTTTTTTTTTTTTTTAAATTTAATGCTTAAACAGAAACATAGGTTTAGTAACTTAATTTGTAATAGTTATAAAAAGAACAGTAATTAAGTATTGATTGATAAACATCAATATAATCTCTTGCTGACTACCATTAAAATCACAAATATGAATGAGAGTAACGTAGAAATAAAGATATTTTATCTATTTGTTAAAAGATTTATCAAATTTTTAGCAGATAGAATGCTGAATGGTCATGACCATGCTCGATTTCAATATCAAATTTTCAAAGAACAATACTTAGAGAGAGAAATGCGGAAAAAAAAAGATTATTTTAATATTTTTTAAAATATAAAGAATTGTTAAAAATTTTAGTGGTTGTCAACACAAATTATAATACAAAGTTATCAAAATACCCTCAAATTATAAATACAAGTAAAAAAATACCACAACTTTGCTATCAAAACAACAACAAAGAAAACCCCAACTTTGCCAAGTATATGATTACTTCATTCACCTGCATCAGTAGTTCGAAAACGAGTTATTTCGCAGATCATCCAACTTAGTTCTTATAATCAGTGGGTCAAATTAAGTTTAGGTGAAAGCCAAGACAGCATATAGTAATAAAAATAATATTGGCTTCTTGTTAAATGTATAAGATATATTCTTGATAATAAAGAAGTGATATGATTTTGTAGCATAAATTTAATATAACGTTTTTTTTTTCAATTCGAATACAATTTAGTAGATAAGATACTTATTATTCTATTTAAAGTGTTTCGTTCTACTGCTATATAATTACTAAACTAAGAGAATCTCTCAACTTTTTCATTCCTTTTCAAATATGTTTGTCTAACTTTTTTTTTTTAAAGTATAGTTTACACTGTGCTACAGTTTATTCTGTAACAATTTTTTTTTTCTTTTGCTATAAGTAACATTGTAAAATTTATACTTTGTTTAAAAATACATATTCATTATCGAATACTTTGGTTCCGAGAGAGGATTGTCCGGACATCAAATTTGACAAGGGTAATTTGGTAAAAGAAATGGTAATTTTGACAAATGTAACATACTTAAATCCCCATTTTCTCCATTTACACCCCAGGAGATACGATAAGAACCCCTTCCTCCACGGCCAGAGTCTTCTCTGTAGTCAAAATTTGAAGTCATTAAAACTGAAGCGCGACTTCAATTTGAAGCGTCGTCTTCTCTGTCGCTAATTGCCGAATCCGAACAACCGATAATGGAGGTTGTTCACGTACCCCCTATTTCAGCAATAATCTCTTCGATTTGCGTAGCCTCCATTCTCATCTTCCTCCTTGTCTCCGATCATCCCAATGGATTGGCCACTTTCTTCTCCGGCGCCTTCAAATCCGATCAATCTACCGTACTTCTCCAAACCACGCAGTTTCATAAACATGCTGCGAATTCCGATCAAGTTCGTGCCGTTCAATATGATCATGCCAACCTAGTAAGAAACCAAACACACACTAATTCTAATTCTGATTCTAATTTTATTTGCATGTGCGCGGTTTTAACTGTTACGCGCAGAGGAAAGTGAAGAAAAAGAAGCTGAGTAGAGAAGAGAAGCTGGAACTAGGGCTGGCTCGAGCCAGAGCTTCGATTCGTAGAGCGGCCCGGGGCTCGGCCAACTCCAATCTCTCGTCCACCGTCCATGACGTGGATTACGTTCCCTCTCCGTCAGTTTATCATAATCCCCGCGCATTTTATCAGTCAGTCTTCTTATTATACGCTTTATATTTACTATTAATATTTCGAACAAATCATATTTTGATGATTTTACGGTTTCTTCTTCTTCTTTTTTGGTATATGAGTTGGATTGATCTACTAAACTGGAAACACAACCCATAAGTTACCAAATGTTTGCCCAGATTCAGAAATTATGACCATTTTATTTTGAATCTAAGCCCATTTTGAAAATTGAAAAAACAAAATTAGTTTTTTTTTTTTTAATTTGACTAAAATTCTAATGAAATTTTATGAAAGGTAGAATAAAGATTTTTGACTAAAATCTAAGCCCATTTTATTAGTAAGAATGTTTTAACCACTTAATTATGTTGATGTTGATTAAGATACATTATTCTAATACCATGTAAAATTACTATTCAATAAAAAACAATTCAAATTAATAGGTTGTGGTATGTTTAATATATTATTTTATTCATATTTTTAATCATAAATATAACTTACATGATTTTTTGAAGCTGTTTTAAAAATATATATATATTGTAAAAATGACCGCCTCCGAAAGCCAACCCGGTGGGGTGCTTTTGGTCAAAGCGGCTGTGTGGTTTTTATTAAATCTGACCCGAAAAACGGACTCCAGGCGTGTTGAGTTGAGTTGAGTGCGCACACTCATTCACCATTTTTTTTTTCCTTTTGAAGAATTGCAGATTACTCAATTGCGACAGAGAAAGCCACAGCGTTTCTACTCATTACCTTTTTCTTTTCTTTTTCCTGTTATCAATTAATTATCCTTGACCACTAATAAAACCCCCACTAATAAAACAATTATCCACATATTATTGCTGAATGATCCACCAATCCATTTTCCTTCCCTTGAGAACGAAGCCAAAGGGGCAGGCAAGCGGCGTAATGAAGAATGGTAATGAGTAGTTTCTAGTCTTTTGATGGTTTTGTTTTACGTATAGGAGCTACGTGGAGATGGAGAGACGATTGAAGGTGTACGTGTACCCGGAGGGTGAGGTTCCGATCACGCACGATGGGCCGTGCAAGAACATATACACGATCG